TTCCCCACCCCCACCCCCCTCTGTGTACAGAAGCACGGCTCTGGGCCTCAGTCCTGGTTCTGCTCGTTATTCGCAGGCCGGGCGGCTCGCGAGGAGAGAGAGGACGTCGCCGGAGACCTCCCTGTCTGCGCCCGCCCCGCAGAGCCCACGGTAACACGGCCCCGGGTTCGAGCAGACCCCCCCAGCGGGGCTGTGCTCAGCCTCCTCCCTGTGTCCGAGTGTGACCTGTCCGGGGGTCTCTCTCTCTCCCTCTCCCAGGCGGTCCAGGGCTCCCCCAGCGCTCCGGGCGGCGATGAGGTCAGCTACTCCACTGTGAGCTTCGCAGAGGCGGCAGCAGGACCCCCGAGAGGACAGGGCGTCCCCAGGGAGGGCGAGACCACCGTTTACTCGGACCTCAGGACAGGGAAATAGGAGGAGGTGGAGGTTACATCAAGTCTCCACCGGGGGGCGCTGTGTGATGTACCTGAGACTCCCCCACCTGCCTGAACACGATCCACCAGGCCACAAAGATGGACGCTCAGAGCACAGCAGCAGAGCTCTGTCGCTGTTGCTTAACAGCACGGACGGTTTTGAACTCAAAAGAGCTTAAAACCTGTGGGGGATATTAATTCAGACCCCCCGTCTCGAACGTTTCCTGTACAGCTTAGTCATGAACCAGTAGGTGTCTTTACTGACCAGTTGTTCCACTGTACAAGGTGGTTTTCACGAGTTAAGGGCTTCTCAAGAAACGCGCTGGCGTCTTTCCTCAATCAGTATTGTGTCCGATATTCACTGCACTGAAAAATGACTTTACTGCGTATTCACCGACACCGTCTGTTTCCGGAATACGCAGTCCCGTTTATCCTCTAAAAAGACCTGACGTTGCTATACAACCTGAGGATCGTTTCCCTGGAGGAGGAGGAGGAGGAGTGTCATCGGAGAGGAGGGACACGGGACTGGCGAGCTGTTTAATTGAGGGGCGGAAGTGGACTCTCCTGTTTAATTGACGAGCGGAAGTGGACTCGCCTGTTTAATTGACTAGCGGAAGTGGACTCGCATGTTTTACTGAGGGGCGGAAGTGGACTCGCCTGTTTTATTGAGGGGCGGAAGTGGACTCACCTGGTTAATTGACGAGCGGAAGTGGACTCGCCTGTTTAATTGAGGGGCGGAAGTGGACTCACCTGGTTAATTGACGACCGGAAGGGCGCTCGACGCCGCTTCGTCTGCAAGCTGAACAAACGAGTATCGTTGTCCTTCTCTCCTCGGATATTCACTGTGCCCGTCAGTAAGAAATAGTTTTTACTTCTCGAATAGTTGTGTGTACGTGTTTGCCTGACTGTTTATTCAGTGAAATCGCGAGGTTCTGAAGCCAGACGGAGTTTTTCCTCATTAACTTAGATTCCCCGTGCAGGTTGTGAATTGTACGTCTAGTCATGAAACCCGACAGCGTTTTCCCTGAATCATCGTTATATCCTCGCTGTGCTGGCTGTTCATTTAAATGTCTAATTTCGCTACACCAGGCAGTGCTTTTTGTGAATAATCTTGGTATACGTTCACTGTACTCGTTGTTAAATGTGCTGTCTAGTCACTTAACCGGACGGAGTTGGTTCCTATTAATTATTTGATATATTTTTTCCTACGGTCCGTTAGTTAATTACCGTGACTAAGTTTTTCAGTAATTATCTTGTGTATTCCCCGTGCTGGGTGTTAATTTGACTGTGTAGTCACAGAACCAGAAGGTGTTTTCCATTAATACTTATGTCTTCCCCCTTCTGTTTATACATTTTAATTTATACTCATTAAACAGGGCAGTGATTTTCCAGAATTATTATCGTATATATTCACCGTACCGGGTGTTAATGACGCTGTCTAATCACTAACCCAGACGGTGTTTTTCCTGAATAATTGTTTTACGTTTGCGGTACCTGTCCTTAATATTACTGTTTAGTAACCAAACCGTGCAGAATGTCTTCTTACTAATTTTCTTATATATTCAGTGTTCTGGTTGTTAATTATACTGTCTAATCACTGAACCAGATGTTATTACTGAATATCTATGCGACATTTTTCCTGTACTGGTTTTTAATTTTAATTTCTAGTGACTAAACCGGACAGTTTTCCCTTGTTGATTGTCTTGTATCTTCACCGTGCTGCTTGTTAATTTTACTGTGTTTTCACAGTGCCATACAGTGTTTTTTTAGGAATAATTGTGTTATCTTCACTGTACTGTTTGTTAATCTTGAATTAGTCATTAAACCAGACAGTATTTGTCTAGAATAATTGTTATTTTCATCGCACTGGTTGTTAATTATACTGACTAGTCACTAAATCAGACGGAGGTTTTCATTAATATTATTCTGATTTACGTGATATATTCCCTGTACTGGTTGTTAATTTTCATGTCTAGTCACTAAACCGGGCAGAGTTTTTTCTTATTAATTATGTTCTATATTCACGGTACTGGTTATTAATTTTACTGACAGTCACTAAATCAGACGGAGGTTTTCATTAATATTATTCCTGATTATTTACGTGATATATTCCCTGTACTGGTTGTTAATTTTCATTTCTAGTCACTAAACCGGACAGAGTTTTTTCTTATTATGTTCTATATTCATGGTACTGGTTCTTAATTGTACTGTTTTGTCACTAAACCTTCCAGTGTTGTTAACGAATACTTGTTCTATATTCACCTTCCTGGTTGTTAATTTTAATTTCGAGTCACTAATCCAGACTATATTTTTCTTGAATAATTATGATAAATTCGCCGTGTTCGTTGTTAATTGTACTGTCTCGTCACTAAACCCGATGTTTTTCATGAATACTTGTTATATATTAACCATACTGAGTATTAATTTCTAGTTCCTAATCCGGGCAGAGAATTTCCTAAATATAATTGTTCTATGTTCACGGTACTGGTTCTTAATATTACTGTTTAGTAACTAATCCATACAGAAGTTTTCCTTACTAATTTTCTTATACAGTATATTCGCTGAACTGTTTTTTTATTATACTGTCTAATCACTGAACCAGGTGGTGTTTTTCCTGAATATTTCTTAAATATTCATTGTGCTGGTTGTTAATTGCACTGTCCAGTCACTGAACCAGGTAGTTTTTTATGAAAACTAATGTTATATATTCCCTGTACTGGTCATTCATTCTACAGCTGTCACTAAACCAGCCAGTGTCTGCAGTGGGTGTCCACTGGGATGGTTATTGTCAGTGATAATTACACTGACAGGACAATGGTCAGTCACTGACCATAATGGTTGATAATTGTACTTACTGTCTAGGCACTAAACCAGGTGGAAATGTTCCTTATTAATTATACTTTATTTACTGGACTGCTTATTAATTATATTGTCTAGTCACTAAACTGAACAGTTTTTCCTTGTTAATTATCTTGTTTTCACTGTGCAGGTTGTTAATTTTACTGTGTAGTCACAGGACCACAGTGTTTCTCTTGAATACTTGGTCTACCTTCACTGTACTTTTTATTAATTTTGATTTATAGTCACTAAAGCAGGCAGTAATTTTCCTGAATTATTCGCCTTACCAGTTGTTAATTGAACTGTCTACTCGTTAAACTAGATGGGTTTTCCTAAATACTGACAGGTCTGAGATATAGTCACTGTCCTGACTGCTGATTGTACTGGAGTCACTAAACTAGATGGGTTTTCCTGAGTACTGACAGGTCTGTGATATAGTCACTGTCCTGACTGCTGATTGTACTGGAGTCACTAAACTAGATGGGTTTTCCTGAGTACTGACAGGTCTGTGATATAGTCCCTGTCCTGACTGCTGA